CCCCAAAACCCCAAAACCCCAAAACCCCAGATCTGAACTCATTATAGAAGGGTTAATAATATATTAGTTATTTGATCCCATTAGTTCTTTGAAAACTTTCTCGTCTTCTAGTTCGTACTCCTCCAGCTCCTCAACAATAACATTCTTCGATGGTTTGGGGATCATCATTATGCATGTGCTTATTTTAGGTAGGTCTAGCTTAACCTTCTCTGGTCCTATTAGTTATATATTAGAAACTTTCATAAACACCGGGAAAATGGAGAATGAAGGAAATTTTATTCAGAAATTATTTTTGGAAATTTACTTACCAGGATCAGAATTCCTTCCTTTTACTCAGAAAGGTTGAGACTGGCCCAGTGTAAAGGAGCGGTTAAATGGATTCTGGCTCATATTCTTCCTATGAGGCCCCTTGTCTGGGTTAGGTGTCCTTGCGCTGAAGGTTGAAGCTGCAGTGACGCTAATCTTATTGCTAATTGAGTCATCATTACTCATTTTTCTTACTCTTGTGACCTAAAAATTGTCATTAGATGTTAAATTAACAATATTATTGAAGCATCATTAAGTAAATTCATATTTTTGAATTTCAAGAGTGATACAATAAGAATATCAGAGAATTCTGATAGAACATTTTAAGTAGATTTTCTGACTGAAAATAAAGAGTTAACCAGGTTTTATTCAATACAGAGTTGGGATTTTGATTAAAAATTCTGATTCATTTAAACTTTAACCTGATGATCCCTATCAGATAAGATTCCTATGCTTAATTTAAGATAGTGATGGTTTCACAGTTAATTCACTAGGTTTCTGCTAAAATAGTCAGTTGAGATTCACACTATTTCTATTTTGCAAAATCAGGACGTTTTAATTATAAAATGAGGATGTTCTTAACGAGAGTTTTCAGGGTCCCAACGTAAAAACTCTGTCAAGAATCGCGAAGTTTTTGCCAAAGGAGCCAACCAGGTTGATTTCATCACTAAAATGCCTGTTTCGATATCTCATTACTTGCTTAGTGAACTTTAATGTATGTGAAGATGGTGAGGTTTTAGAAAAAAAATACTGTCCTAGATAATTATGAATCTGGCCCAATCGTCTTATTTATTGGCTATTCAAGCATTCACTAATAAAGGAAGCTTATCAAAGACAGAAGCTTTGTTTGGGTACTGAGGAACATGGTAGAGACAAAAGTAATTAGCTTAAGTTAGTGACCCAAAATTTGCACAAATAAGGTCTTTTCAGGTTCAGACGTTGTCGTAGATATTAAATTGCATCATAAAGCCGGTTTATATACTCTTGGCCGATAATAATCATGCTTATCTTTAAACCTCTGCACATTTAGCATAGAAGCATGAATAATCCCTCGAAATCGTGTTTAAATTTAGGCTTGTTTCTGCTAAATATGAGTAACCATCAAAAAGTCAACTATCAGAAGCTATTTCGAAAGCTCAATAAAGTGAAGGCCCTTATCAGTATTCTGAATGAAAGAGGGTGGATAGGGAACTTCTGGAACAATTAAGTTGTTTAATCGACCCTTTTAAATGGCTTCTAACCACCTATTTCTTTGCTAACTTGCCCAATGGAAGGCCTTATGGCCTTTGGGGTGTATCCTCAGCCTTAATTATGACAAATTTCTTACTTTTCCACGAGATTGGTGACCTCCCATTACTGCTGAAGAATATTATTTATTTTATCTTAGTTCAACATATATTTTCTTAATTGGGGTTTTGGGGTTTTGGGGTTTTGGGGTTTTGGGGTTTTGGGGTTTTGGGG